TAGCGTTATGCATACTTAAACTCCTTTACTGTGTTAACCTCTACCACTTTAGCTGGAAGGCTATTCTATGCATCCACTACCCTCTCAGTAAAGTAATACTTCCTGATATTATTTTTAAACCTTTGCCTCTCTAATTTAAGACTATGTCCGCTTGTTGTGGTAGTTTTCTTCTTTTAAATATAGTCTCCTCCTTTACTGTGTTGATTCCCTTTATGTATTTAAATGTTTCTATCATATCCCCCCATGTCTCATCTTTCCTCCACGCAATACATGTTAAGTTCCTTTAACCTTTCCTGGTAAGTTTTATCCCGCAATCCATGAACCAGTTTAGTAGCCCTTCTCTGAACTCTCTCTAAAGTATCAATATCCTTCTGGAGATAAGGTCTCCAGTACTGCGTACAATAATCCAAGTGAGGTCTCACTAGTGTTTTGTACAATGGCATGAACACTTCCCTCTTTCTGTTGCTAATACCTCTCCCTATACAACCAAGCATGCTGCTAGCATTTCCTGCTGCTCTTTTACATTGTCTGTCTACCTTTAAGTCATCAGAAATAATCACCCCTAAATCCCTTACCTCAGATGTTGAGGTTAGGACTCTATGAAATATTCTGTACTCTGCCTTTGGTTTTTTTTTTTTTCCAAGATGCATTATCTTGCACTTATCCACATTAAATGTCAGTTGCCACAACTCTGACCATTTTTCTGGTTTACCTAAATCATTTGCCATTTTGCTTATCCCTTCTGGAACATCAACCCTGTTACATATCTTGGTATCATCAGAAAAAAAGACATTGCAGTTTATTGATAAGCCTTCTATGTGCATCAGTGTCAAAAGCCTTACTGAAATCTAGGTAAGCAATGTCTACTGCACCACCCTGATCTATTATTTTAGTTACCCAATCAAAAAAATCAATAAGATTAGTTTGGCATGATCTCCCCGAAGTAAACCCACATTGTCTCTGATCTTGAAATCCATGTGTTTTTAGATGTTCAACAATCCTATCCTTTAACATGGTTTCCATTACTTTTCCCACCACTGAAGTAAGGCTTATTGGCCTATAGTTGCCCTACTACCTTTCTTGTGAGTGGGCACAACATTCGCTAACTTTCAATCTTCTGGGTATACTCCTGTTAACAATGATTAGTTAAATACATCTGTTAATGGTTTTGCTAGTACACCGCAAAGTTCTTTTATTAACTTTGGGTGTATTCCATCAGGTCCCATTGACTTATTTGTCTTTACTTTTGACAGTTGAAATAGAACCTCTTCCTCTGTAAACTCACATGTACCAAATGACTAATTTGTCCGTTTTCCTAACTGAGGCCCCTTTCCTTCATTTTCATCTGTAAATACTGAACAAAAATATTCATTGAGGCAGTCAGCTAGACCTTTATCCTGTTCTACATACCTTCCTTCTTTTGTTTTTAATCTAACTAATCCTTGTTTTACTTTCCTTTTCTCATTTATGTATCTAAAAAATGTTTTGTCCCCTTTTTTTACTGACTGTGCTATTTTCTCTTCTGTGTGTGATTTGGAAGCTCTTTTTTTATAATTACTAAATGCTAACTTTTTGTTTTTTACTATTTTGGCCACAGCTGTGGAGTACCACAGTGGTTTCTTGAATATAATGCAATTTTATGTTGCCTGCAGCAGTGCAATTTTTAAATAATCCCATTTCTCTTGGACTCCATTTAAATTGTTCCAGTCTGATAATGATTCCTTAACACATATTCTAAATTTAGAAAAGTCTGTTTTTCTAAAGTCTAAAACTTTTGTTTTTGTGTGGTGTGACTCAGTCACTGTTCTTATATTAAACCACACTGACTGATGATCACTGGATGCTAAACTTTCACCTACAGTAATATCTGATACTAAATCTCCATTTGTTAACACTAAATCTAGTATGACCTCTTTATGAGTTGGCTCCTCAACGACTTGTTTTAGAGACAATCCCAGTAGGGAGTTTAGAATATGTGTGCTCCTGGAATAATCAGATATTTTGGTTTTCCAATTCACATCAAGAAGATTAAAGTCACCCATGATGATAACTTCCCCCTTCATTGTCATTTTAGCTATTTCCTAAACTAGTAGATTATCTAACTCTTCTATTTGTCCTGGGGGCCTATAAATCACACCTACACGAGTTACTGTGTTATTACTAAATTCTAACATAACTCAAACGGACTCTATGTTAACCTCACTAACTTTTATTGGGCTAGATTTTATGCTATCCTTTACATACAGGGCCACCCCTCCCCCTTTCTTGCCTTCCCTGTCTTTTTCTATATAAAGAGTACCCTGGTATTGCTATGTCCCAGTAATTTTTCTCATTATACCATGTCTCAATAACCGCAACTAAATCTACATTATCAGTTGCCATTATTTCCACAGGTTCATGGATATTATTCCTTAAACTACGATCATTTGTAGACATGACTCTAAGCTTATCATTTTTTAACACACTTGCTACAGGCACCTTCTGTCCTTGTTTTGGGGGGCAATTGGATTGATGTTTTATCATCCTTTTGCCCCCCCCCCTCCTAGTTTAAATATATCCTAGCAAAACCTCTGAACTGCTCACTGAGAACATTTGTTCCATTTTGAGAAAGATGCAAACCATCTTTTTTGTACAGTTTATTTGCATTCCAAACAGAGCTACCATGAGAAATAAAACCAAGTCACAAGTTATTTAGGAAAGCATTGGATTGGCTCAGATCATCAAGATCACAATTGAGTCAGGGCCATCTGCATGGAGAACGGCGTGGCAAAGGAGAGAAGGTCTCCTTTAATAGCCTCTTAAAGGAAACATGCAATATTCACGTTGTCTAGCATCAAGGAAAAAGTAGTGGTTTGTGAAAGTAGGGTGCTATTTTAGACCTGTATAGTGGTCTTTTACGCACTCAGCCCTGAGGATTGTGCTATGGACGTACTACAGCACTCCGTGTAGTTTGAAAATAGAGATCTCTGCTACAGTGACCACACAGATTATATCTCAGGATGTCAAGAGTGCAGTTAAATTTAGGATTGGGAAGCTGTATGAAGAATAGGAATGAAGCCCATCCAATATTGGTACCCACTCTCCCACCATGCTGTCACTGTGACGGTGCTTGATGGAAAATCCTTTTTTTCTTCAACTAGGAGAGCACATGAGCTGGTTCTCTCCACAGCAGTGTAAGAAATAAGTGAATGTTAGCCTTGGTGGTCTTTTTTTAACTTAAATTTCTATTGAACCAGAGGTTTAAGACTCTGCAGAAAGTTTAGAAATATGCTGTTAAGCTAATAAATTCATAGGGGAGAGAGATAACAAGTAAGTTCCTCTCGCCTCTTGCTTTTACATGTACTTGCGCAGCGTAATTGAAAGATAAGTGAGTTGGGGGACGGAGCCAACAGCCAAGCCAAGGCACAATCCACAAACCACAGACCCCCCAGCAGATTCAGGGATTCAAGCCGCACAGATCGATGACCTTCTTTCAATCCGCCAAGACACCTAAGCAGATACACAGGCCTGGAGGCTACACCACACAGACCCTTACGGATCTGGAGACGTTCATCGGACATGGATATGCAGCCACAGAGACCGACTCACTCAAACACACCCAGAGCACTCCGTACACATGTCTGCCATGGGACGTCGCTCCCAGAAGATAAGCACTCCGGCCGAACACCAAGACATCGGAGCGCTGCTCCAAAGACAGGTACTGCCCAAGATGACACCAGCAGAAAGCCTCCACACTACTGCCTCTGACACAGCCTCAGAGCACCAATAACAGCGCGAGCAGCCCAGTACACCACCCGATCTATCCCCCACGACGAAACACGACCTGAAGGTCCTGCTGAAGGACTTCTACAAGGCACTTGCAGCTGAGCTTGCAGTAATACGCTCAGACATGCAAAATACCACTGACAGGGTCTGGGCTACAGAAAAGGCACCTTATTGATGGCCTCACCAACATATAAACCACAATACATCAGCTGACTAAATCACATCAAACACTCTCATTACAGATGTCTGCCATGGAAGACCGGTACAGACGTAACAAAGTAAAAATGAGCTACCTCCCTATGTCAGGAGATTGATGGCAACAATATTGCCCCCAGCAATGGAAAAGAAAATCATGCTAGACAGGGTGTAGAGAATCCCAGGGCTCACCAGGCCGCCACCGCACACCGCCAGGGATGTCATCGTCAGATGCACCTCGGCACAAGATAGTGGGCATATCATGGCGGCCTTGAGAGGCAAGACGCCACTGACATTTTGAAGAAACACAACTGACCTATCAAGATCTTACCAGAACAACCCTACAATGGCGCAAATCGCTCACACAAGTCATGCAACAATTGAGAGCTGCAGGCATAGCTTACCGCTGGGGAACACCGTATGCGCTGCAAGCAACCCACAACAGAACCACTCACTCACTGACCTGGCAGATGCACCGAAGTTCCTTTCATCACTAGGACTGGCAAAACCACGGACTGGCCCAGAAACTAATGCCCCAAGCAGGTCAAGGGACCCCAACCACCGTACCCTTTGTTCCAAGAATGGGAGCTGAGAGGCAACTGGGTACCTTAAAGCAGATGGCCATGGAGATGTCCGTGTCTGCTCTTAAGACGACGGGCAGAGATCTGCAACTAAAATTACCTAATGTTTTGTTTTCTATCTTTTCTCATATGGTTTCTCGCTAATTGTGTTTGATTAATATTGTTTTACAGTTTAACTAAGTTATACATCACTCCACTGAGATTTACACTGATGGAAAACCACCCCACGCGCGAGTGACCCAGACTGCTCTTGAGCCCACAGGTCACCCTTCACAACTCCTAGGCGAGGCATACACTACACCTCAACCCCCCTCCCCCTCTGCAGCCCCCTTGGTTAAAGGCTTGCCCTGCTTAATTGCAAGGTACCCCAACAACAGTTCCTTGTTGGAACCCATTACGCTGACACCCATACAGAACAATCTCAATGCAGAAACCATGACAGGCAACCTTGCATGACCTCCCCACAATGTCATTGACCCTGGAATGTTCGCCTCATACAGAGGACCACCGACCAACGCTGAACCCAAGACCTTAACATTGTGTCATTACTCCTTTATAGAAACCCTGTACCTCAACTATGCACTATATCAGCACACTCACGATTACTGACACACTAGGTGCACTCACCTACTGATATATACAGAATTACTCATGTATATAAAAATGTTGTGCTGCAAACTCATGGCACAACTATGTCCACTTGCAAAAGCCGCTCCATGCTATCGTGGCATTCTTAGCATGTATGTTACGTCATGGCACAACAAAAATAAAGAATTATATAAATATAAGTGAGTTAAGTACAAATAAGTCGATAATGTATCAGCCCTCTAACTTAAATTTAAAATATGTAATATACACATTTCATTAGTTTTTCAGAGTGCAAAGACACAAAATATGGATTTTATTAAATTTGTTTTCTACATTTAACAAAAATCACTTTTACATTGAGTTATGGCTGTAAACTGTAAGAGTTTCTTAGTATTGGTTCATTCTTTTACATCTACCTGTGAAAATTAAAGAATCACCCCTCACATGAAGAAGTTCTGAGAAGTTGTATTACACAAGAAGGAACATAGACTTGGGAGTAAATATACCAAATTATCTACAGATGGGATTTAGAAGACATCCTGTGGATAAATAAGAGTTCACTACATAGGTGTTATCGTCATCTAAGCCTCCATGTTGAGATCCCCTTAACTGTTGTGAGCACTCACTTTATTAACTGAAATGGCTCTAAGAGTTATTGTACTGCAATGTTTTAGCAATATTATATATGAGAAGGATAACCTAGCCAGCTCTAAATTAATTAAAGGGACACTATAGTCACCAGAACAAATACAGCTTATTGAATTTGTTCTGGTGTGTAGAATCATTACCTTCAGGCTTTTTGCTGTAAGCGCTGTCTTTTCAGAGAAAATGCAGTGCTTACACTACAGCCTAGCGATAACTTCACTGGCCACCCCTCAGATAGCTGTTAGAGATCCTTCCTGGTTCATGGCTGCCTAAAATGCATCCAAACATTCAGTGTCTCCTCCACAAATACATGTTTGTGTTCCTGACCTTATAGTGATCCTTTAAGTAAAAATAAACTACAGTAGAAAAGCTGATTTGACAACCCTTGATCTACAGCCATAGCTGACCCTATGCATTGAGCAATTGTATTAAATATTTTGGGGGCCAGTGTAGCAATCCCCACTTGTGCAGAGTTCTACTCTTCCATTGAATTAATGAGTGCAGGTGTAATTCCAAAGGGCGTATCAGAACTTTGGTGCTAGTGAGTGTATGAGTCACAATACATAATAAGAGTTGTTTGCTATGGGTGTACCATTCACACATCACATAGCTCAGTGTGTGATGATTCATTCACCTACTAGCTAGTAATGGATGGTGATCAACTCAACCAGTACCACAGGCTTGGTATCCTCTTCAGAATCCTGCGCAAGTTGAACAACCAAAGGCCTGCCACATCTGAGGCGTACATGAATAAGGGGATTATATAAATATCACAACAAGAAAAGTGGAGTAATGTTCAGTGAAGCAATCACCATAGAAGTCAATCAAACCAGGAGAAACATTCTTCTGTTTCCATCGTGTGCTAAACCTATAGAACTTTGCCCCACCTTTTTATTAGTAACATTTTTATAAAACTGCCCTTACGTTTCCATCAGATCACAGTTTGCTAAACATTCCTCACAGCAGCTCCAGCAACTATAAACTCTTACATGCATACACACCACAAAACCTAGTCAAAGACTGGTTATTGTCACTAGTTAAATACAATTGAACAACAGAATCCAGTCTGATGTAAATAATGATAAAACTGTATCATGTGCTATAACACAACACATTAAAGACTAATGATATATACTCAAATGTCCAACAGACATACAAAACCTTACAAATGGACATACCCAGATACATTCACATCTGGTATACACAACTCATTCACTCAACCTAAAAGGCCTGCCAGATTTCTAGTACAAACCCTATTTCTATGGTTTGTGGTGGTCAAACGTATAAAAAAGCAAACATTGCAAAATAAAGTGCAGTAAATAAAATGTCAATGCAGGATACTGCAGGAGAGTTTCCAGATGTTAATTTTGGTTATAATATGATCTGCCACTGAAGCCAGCTAGTGACCCTCATCATGCAATATTAATGTCTTTCACGCGGGATTAATCACTGCTCATGCCCGTTTGTCCTTTTGGTCCTTCTTGACTTTGATGTTCTTTTTTGGATTTGCTGGAGCGGGGTTTGCCTTTTTTGAGCTTGGTTTTGGTGATCCACTGCGTCCAGTGCGACTTGTATTCTTGTTCTTCTCGTGTGCTCTTCTCACTTGTTGCTCTTGTAGTGTCTGCTCCCATCTCTAAAAGAAGAAATAGATTCATAAGTGAGTTACTATATAATTACCGTGCGTTTAATTGACTTCTCTGCCATTATTTTTTTATTCCTAGAATATGTTATCAAAAACAGGAATTGGTACACTCAAATAGTAGTGTATTAAAAAGAAATTAAAATCCAAGAGTCCATTATACAAGAGATTGTAAGAGATGTGGGGATATAGACACATACTAGTCATTTAGTACAAAGGCTTTCTTTAAAAGTTAATTAATTGGACAGAAATGTTGAGGGCATATCAGCATTCAAAAGTTAGCCAGTTTATTTGTTTTAACATATTATAACAACTGAGAATGTTAATACTACATAGCAAAGTGGCATAATAAATCACAATGTATATGTCAGATTGTTTAGATGAGTGGTACCCAAACCACTCCTTATGGTAAACGAGAAGTCCAGGTTTTGTCAGTATCTCCATTGGAATAAAACAGGGAAATAAATGAGATGATAATTTTGATGATGTCTGCCAAGGAGGCTGATTGGTGGCGGAGCCAGCACCAGCTGACCAACACGGCACTGGAAATAAGTTGAGTTTTCTACTTAATTAAGGGGGTACACATGGTTTTTAACACTACTGGATTAGGAATACACGTCTGTGTTCTTGACCCTATAGGTATATATGTTCCTTTACATGTAAAATTCACTTTTAATTTACTTTGAATTCTTGAAAATTCACACTTTACTGAATAATCCTGTTAATTAAGATTCACAATCAAGAAGTAAATACTGAGAAATATCTTTCCCAACTAAGATACAAGAAATAAATAGTAAATGTATTCTAAAATCCCTTGTAACCTAGTGAACAGTTTTAAAAAAAATTTAACATATTCATCACTTTCTCATGTTCCTGAGATTAAAATAATGCTTTTCTAGGTCATTGTAAATTCTATAATTGCAGCCATGTTACAAATGTTATGTTTTGCCAAAGTTTGTATATTTCTTTTTATTAACAAAAATGTCTGTTCATGACAGGACATCTTTGCTAGCAAAACTCATTTTAATTGGGCAGTTATTGCAGAATATGAAGATTTATTGTAACAGGGAAAAATGTCATATAACAATTGAGTTATGACTTATGATCTTCACAGGTGGAATAATCCACATCTTGTCAATCATACACACACGCAGACACACACACACACACTGGGAGGGTGGGGCTTTCATAACTGACAGCATCATGTGATCTCTCTCAAATAGCAGCACCACTATAGCTTAAAGCGTTACTCTGACACTTTTAAAATTGAGGGGAAAAAAACACAACACATTTTTTTAAAATTTAAAATGCCCAACTGGTTGTTACTCATTAGGTTCCACCTTACCAAAGCCTAGGCTAAGTTTTCTTGCTGGATTCCACACCCTTTCTGACATCACAGTCACCCTCTCTGTGGTCCAATCAAATGCTTCTCTCAAAGCACGTGTTCAGGGAATTTTTTTTAAAACTCTGTAATAACTTTGACTAGAGGGAGGAGAGGGAACACTAAAGCTTCCCCTAACGGGCATGCTGCCTGTCAAGGAGAAGCTCATTAAGTTTGTTGCCAGCGCACTGTGCACCCTGACAAGAGATATAATTGACACGAGGTCATGTGTTCCTGGGATGCTAGAAGCCCCTATCTTACTCTGTATCTGCAGCATGTCAAGCTTAAATGCTGCACATACAGACTCTTACCACCATGAACACTTCTAATATCCCCCACCCCCCTTGTTATTTCATAAGTTCTATAGGATGGGGCCAATGAAATAGGATGTCCATTAGATATGCTCCCATGTGCCAGAGGTGTGCATTTTTCTATTATTTTTTTAACTTTTTTGATGTGGTGGCTGGCTAGCTAGCAAGCGCTGGCCAGCCACAACACACAACATAATTAACCCTTGCACTACCAATGGATTTTCTTTTTTTTTTTAACTATTTGCCCACTGGCTGCTAGCAAGCAAATAGTTCTTCAAATGATTAATTCACTTGCAAAAAGCAAGTGAATAATAACTTGCGAACATGCATCCTGCTGGATGCATTAAGGTTACCTTCAGCCACCATGCAAACATTGAAAAATCTCTGATTCCTCTGTTGTAAACTGTTCAGATGCGGATATTACTGATTTTCCGAACTCCTCCGAACAAATGTCATTTTTGTGTATTTTCACTGGGTTTGTCCATTCGGACAAAATCCACTGTTTAGTGAATAACCCTTTTAGTAACACTTAAATATAATAGAAAAAAGGTCCACTCCTTGTGATAAAATGCAAAGTAATAACCAATATTTGTCCATACCTTGAATCTTTTGTTTAGCTGGTCTTTCCATTTTTCAACCAAACAGCCATCAAGAAGCATCATTCTGGGGATTGAGACAATATTACTATTAGAATAAATGCAATCTCTTAATGCTTCAACTTGATTGCACTGAAAACAGGAAAACATTTCACTATGTATCTGGTATCCAGCCTTTTCTATGGCACTCACACAATGTCAATAGGAAATCATAGGAGCAATGTAAATATCACTATTTGGCAACTATAGTTTGCAACATTAAATAAAATACCATGGTTCTAAAAGTATGCCTGAGTATACCCCTGAGTATAGATGAATTCCTTGTCTTCACTGTAAAAATGTTTGACATGGCATATGGTCTTTCTTTATATATCAATATCAATATATACATGGTGAGCCAAATTCAGAGTAGGATTTGACAGTTAAAGAACTGTAGTAGTTACATATGCCGGTACATATTATAACTCAGTCTTGGGAGATTCATCATAGGTAATTTCAAGAAGGAACAATGGGTAAAAAAAAGTGAAATTG